GCCTACAACAACTACGACCACAACTCAAGCACCAACAACAACAACTCAAGCACCTACAACAACAACATTAGCACCAACAACTCCACCATCATGTGGTAGTAATGAAACACTACCTAATGGTTGTCCTGCCGACTTCAGCATTCACAAGTTATTGCCACATGAGTCGAACTGCTCACAGTTCTACTACTGTGTTCGAGGTGAATTGGAATTGAGGGAGTGCTCCGCTGGACTACACTTCAATCCAGTATTGGAGGTAAGACAAATTGACACGTGCAAGTAGCTATCAAGCCAGCAACTTTTCATTTTGCTGGCAATCTATTCCCGCCTATACACTATATTTAAATCAGTTTATTATGAAAAAAAAACTGCTTTTAGGTTTGTGATTATCCGGAAAATGCTGGCTGTGAAAGTGAAAGCGGAGGAGGAGGTGATAGTAACAATGAGAAATGCAAAGACGGCTGCAATGTGTTACCTTGGCCGCATGAAACCGATTGCGATAAATTCTGGAGATGTGACGGCGAAAAAGCGGTCTTAGGTATATGCTCCGAAGGTTTACATTTCAACGCAGAAACACAGACTTGTGATTTCATTTGCTATGCGAATTGCGAAAGGAAAGAAATACAAGCGACATCTCATAATGCTGGGTTGAAACTCTTCATTCCTTGGCATAGAGTAGACCATAATTGGGTCGGACAGTACATAGGCGATTTGTAATTATTACAATTCCGATTATACAAACATTTGAAATAAATAAATAATAATAATCGTTTATTTTATTTCACGGCCAGTTTCCGATCACAATTACTTTAATACCCTGATTTTGGAATAATACTCGGTTAACATAATTCCAGTCCAGTGAATAAAGTCAGTGTTGGACTGGAATAATGTAAACCGGACAAAACAGAGCGTCGGTGGCTCAGTGGTTTAAGCACTTGACTTGTAATCTAGAGGTTCGAATCCCGCCGCCATGTACCAATGTGATTTTCGATTTTTCGAATTTTCATATGTACATAATTTACCCGACGTTCTTACGGTGAAGGAAAACATCGTGATGCAACCTGCACATATCGGCGAAGAAATTCAAAGATATGTGTGAAGTCAACCAACCCGCACTTGGTCAGCGTGGTTGACTATGGCCTAATCACTCTAACATTAGGGTAGGCTCCGAGCCCCTCGGTGGGGACGTATAGTGAGCTGGTGATGATGGACAAAACAGAGATAATATTGACATTATCATTCATATAAAAATTTAATTCACGTACAGTTTCAGATAGTTTTAAAAGATAACTCTTAATACTAATTGGATATTATTTTTCTATTAATATTTCTACATTAAAGTTATGAATATAAAATAATAAGATAAGATAATACAAGTATAACTTACATTCTCCACTGCCATAGTTTAAATATTGTTTTCAGGAATTTCTTGTAATAATTTTTTACACTCGAACATAATTTTTGTATTGTAGGTATCTGTATTTTAGACCTGTAAAAAATTAAAAATATTGAAATAATTTATTGGTATAGTTAGTTTTTTTATTACCGAAAAATGTTATGAGGATACGTTCAGTGATCTCATAAGTAAAGTCCTGGTTATGTATTTTCTTTGAAAAAATAAATATGGTTACAGAATAGAAGGCGAGGTGACAAAATTAAAGAAAACGGTGAGAATTCGAATTTCAAGCAGATTTTTGATATATTAAAATCGTACACCATTGACTAAACTACCGCACAACTGTTGTGCGATTGTCGATTGTTTCGCAGCCTTCAACTGTTTAGTTGCACAACTAAAAATCGAGTAGTGTACCTCCATATAAGTTCATAGGAATCAAAGCGAGACTAAACAGTGCGATAGTTTGGTCAAAAGTGTGGCACGCTCTTACTAATATTTGTGATTATTTTTTTTTATTATAATATAAGGTGGCAAACGAACAAACGGCCACCTGAATCCACCGAAATGGAAAGCGACCGCTGCCCATAAACATCCGCAACATACAGATGCGTTGCCTACCCTTAACTGACGGAGGCGGAGACGCATATAAAGAGGACATTTCCCCTTCATATGCGTCTCCTCCACCGTCAAATCCACTTTTCCTTTCAATCCTATCCTATTAAGAAAAGGGTGGAAAGGAAAAGGGACTAAAATTAGGCCTCCGGCACCACACTCATCAGACGAAACGCGGAATTGCTTGCACTTCACGCCTGTTTTCTGTGGTCGTGGTATTACACCGGAAGATCCGGTCCATTTGTGCGAAGATGTTAAAGCGGGCTCTTCCATGTTAATTTCTTTAGCTGAATTTTTGACACCCATTTTTTTTTGACTTTAACATTCTTTTGACATATAAAATTGATGTGTATTTGTCACAAATACATTATTTGATATAATCAATGTTAGATAATTTTCACAATCTCGTTATCGAATTAAAAATCTTATAGGAAGTCAACATGAAATACGCAATATTAGGATGTTTATGATTTTCAAGTTACATTAGTAATTTTATTTTCATCACCAGCTACTATAAGTCCATACTGAGCTCGGCTTATCCTCGAATAGGTCACTGATTCCTTGCGGGTTGACTTCAAAATTAGAATTGTAGCAGAATTTTTATTAGGACTTTTAGAGCGCGCGAACACATTCGAGTAAGATACAACTGTTTAGTCTTGCTTTGGATCCTATCCTACTACACTACTCGATTTTTAGTTGTGCAACTAAACAGACGAAACAATCGACAATCGCAGTTGTCCAATAGTTTAGTCAAAGGTGTGCACCCGCTCTTAGATAGCATTATACCACGTAATTATTGTTAAATTATTTAATTTTTACTATACAAAATTTAACAAATTATACAGTCAATTTAATAGTTTTATGTTTGAATCAAAACATAAATAAGAAGACTTATCAATGCTAATCCCATGGTTTTTTGTAATGAAAATACAAGGATGTAATAATAGAAATTCAAAACAAACTAATAATGACAAAAATTGATCAACACTAGGCTTGCACTCGACTATTTATGAAAAAACTAGCTTTCGCCTGCGACTCCGTTCGCGTGAAATTGAAAAAAAACTAAGTAGTCTATGTGTTCTTCCAGACTGCTCTATATTTGTGCCAAATTTCATCGAGATCCGTTCTGCTGTTTAGGCTACAAACTCTAACAAATATCC